AATTGGTTCAATGGGAGCACCCCCCCCCCCCCCCATTATTATAATTAAAAATATCACAATCCAAAACAAATTAATTGTTTTTACTAAAGGTTAAGCATCAAATTTGAGAGATTAATGCAATTTGCTAAAGCTGAACCTAAATCTGATGCATCTTCATCAACAATTTCATTACTACTTTTTAAATATTGAAGAAAAAATATTTAATTAAATAATTAATAAGAAGGAAAAAATGAAGAAAAAGTATGAAATAATAAGATTAATTAATAATAATAAAAGCAAAAGTTGAATAAAAAAAAGATTAGTTAAATTAACAAACATCCAAAGAAGAAAAAAAAGCAATTAAACTCAATAAAAAGAAAAATAAAAAAGAACTTTTATTATTTTAAATTAGCTTTTATAATTAAAAATATCACAATTCAAAACAAATAAACTGCTTTTACCTAAGACAAAGTGTCAAATTTGAGAGATTAATACAATTTGCTAAAGCATAACCTAATCCTGATGCACCCATTGCACCAATTTAATTGTAACTTTTTAAATATTGAAGAAAAAATATATTATTAAATAGCTAATTAGAAGGAAAAAATGAAGAAAAAATATGAAATAATAAGATTAATTAATTAATAAATAATAAAATCAAAAGTTAAAAATGAAATGATGAGTTAAATTAACAAAAGAGAAAAAAAGCAATCAAACACAATAATGAAAAATATCTTAATAAATAATCAATAAACTATTTTTACTCAAGAACAAGTCTCAAATTTGAGAGATTAATGCAATTTGCTAAAGCATAGACTAAGCCTGATGCACCCATTGCACCAATTTAATTTTCACTTTTTAAATATTGAAGAAAAAATATATCATTAAATAGTTAATTAGAAGGAATAAATGAAGAAAAAATATGAAATAATAAATAAGATTAATTAATTAATAATAAATGCAAAATTTGAAAATAAAATTATCAGTTAAATTAACAAAGAAAGACGAAGAAAAAAGAGATTTATTGTTTTAAATTAGATTTTATAATTAAAAATATCACAATCCAAAATAAATAAATTATTTTTACCCAAGGTCAAGTGCCAAATTTGAAAGATTAATACAATTTGCTAAACCAGAACCTAAACCTGATGCATCTTCATCACCAATTTAATTCTTCCTTTTTAAATATTGAAGAAAAAAAAAAAATTAAATAGTTAATTAGAAGAAAAAATATGGAATAATAAGATTAATTAATTAATTAATAATAAAAGCAAAAGTTGAAAATAAAATGATGTGTTAAATTAACAAAGAAAGAAAAAATAAAAGCAAGTAACATAAATTAAAGTTCTTTAAATTAATTTTTATAATTAAAAATATTACAATCAAAAACAAATAAACTGTTTTTATTAAGTGTAAATGTTAATATTGAAAAATGAAAATATCAAATAATAAAAATGAATGATAAATAATTAAAAATTGATTAAAATTAAGTTAAAATAGCTAAAAAATTTTGTTTTAATAAAAATCAATCAATAATGATTAGAATTTCTATTAGAAAAATTATTTTATTAAATAAATCGAAAGTTAAAATTACAAAAAAAAAAAATAGTATTTATAAATTAAATATACGCCAGATTAATATGGAGAACCTTATGAGAT